GTTGTCTAGTTGTTATACTAAACTGTAACAAAAGAAAAATATAATGGATGATTATTCTTGGCGCTGCCTTTGCCATCAAATACATTGGAATTCTTGAGTTAAAGCTTCCTAAAGTCTCGGGCCTGACTATTTTTGGTTTGGTAGTTACCACTAAAAATGTCAGGCCTTAGCCTTATTGGCACAAGCTAATCCTTTTTGCCTACCTTTGATTCAGTCAACACACCTACTAAGTACCTAGTATGTGTCAGGTGTCATGCTGGGTTCTAGAGACGGGACAGTGAGTCAGACCAACCCTGATGCGGCTTACAGTCTAACAGGGCACACAGATGTGGAACAAGTGATCTGTCACAAGTGACCCATCACAACGGTACCTAGTGTCCTAAAGCAGGGGGCTGTGGAGGCACCTCACCACTTCCCAGTGGGTGGGAAAGAAGGGCAGAGAAGTCTGCAGAGGCTTTAAAAACATTGTCCTCAGACCAGCCGCCTCAGCATCACCTGGAAGCTTGTTAGAAATACAGATTCTCAGGCCTGCCCCAGACCTACTCATTCAGGCTCTGGAAGTGGGGCCCAGCAGCCTGTTTGAACCAGTCCTCTTGGTGATTCTGATGCACATTAAAGTTTGAGGACGACTAGCCTAGAGGAAATAACATTTAAGCTAAGTGCTAAAGCTGCACCAGTCAATACAGTAGCCACTGGTCACGTGTGGCTATGGAGCCCTTGAAATGTGGTTAGTCCAAATGGAGATGTGCTTTAAGTATAAAATACACATCAGGTTTCAAAGACTTACTAAGAAAAAAGAAAGTAAAATACCTCATTGAGAATTTTATATAGATCATATGTTAGAATGATAATCTTTTGAACCCAAAGGGTTAAATAAAATGTATTATTAAAATTTCACCTATTTTTGCTGCTTAGTACGGCTTTTAGAAAATTTTAAATTACAAATTTAAAAAAGCCAATTATATGTGGCTTGCGTTACATTTTGAATGGACACAGCTGATCGAAAGGATAACTAGCAGGCCCCCAAAGCAGGGAGGGACTGAAGTGGGGGTGGAGGGGAGGGGGTGTTGGGTGAGGGTTCTGTGTAGGAGACAGTGTGTGCAGAGGTCCCGAGGCCAGAAAGAACATGGCATGTTCAAGGAAATAAAAGAAAACCAAAGTCTTGCAGGTCACATTAAGGATTTTGAGCTTTGTCCTAAGATCAACAGGAAGTAATCTGAGGGTTTTAAATAGGGTACTCAGTTTTCAGGAAGTTTGTAGCTAATACATGAGGGCAAGAGAGCTACAGCTGAATATTGCAAGGCTCAGAATCAAAGCTCCCCCCACCTGCCCAAAAGATGGTGGGAATGGAGGCATTTGGACAGGAAGTACTATTGAGAGGGAGGGAGCGGGACCCTGCTCGTCAGCAGCCCCTGCCCCAGGATACGAGGCACGAACACCCCTGCTGAAGAGAGAAGCAGACACCTGGGAATAGTTTGGTGTTCAGTTCATTTTCAGCTTGGTTAAAGTTGAGAGCTAGAGGAAACATTCCAGAAGAGTCCAAAGTTGAGTAGGAGTTTGATTACAGAGCTGGGACTCTGCAGGGCACTGGCGAAGTTTTGGTGAAGAGAGGGTCAGGGACAAGGAAGCCTGGCACACGTGGGGATTAGAGGGTCTGTCCTTTGAAAGAGTGTGCTGGACAACCACAGAGGAAGGCTGGGGTTAGAGCCTGGAGGCTTGGGGTCTGACCAGCTCCAGGGGGCAGGAAGGTGGGGCTGGGGGGGGTGGTCCTCATTCACCTGTGGCCTGGAGGAGGTTTCTCTTTAAGTCACAGTCACACACTAGCAGACTCAATCTACCCTCAGAAATGTCTTGTTTAGCTCACATTTTTTAAATGTATTCAAATTAGTTGCTAGTATTTGTATTAGATATCACATAAAATTCACATTTCCAGTTCTTTTGAGAATTGGAAGATTGAGGACCCCAGTGCCTCAGTCTCACAGAGAAATGGGCTGGAGCTAAGTAGCAGCTACTCCCTTCATTTTTCATTTGAGCTTCTAAGAGCTGAAATGATCACATTAAAAAAAAAGACATTTACCCTAAAAACAAAACAGAATCCACAGGTTCTGTCTGGTCTGAGTCTTGCATTCTCTCCAGTCTTTGTTTTCAGCAGCCCTGGCTTCTCCTTGTTCTCCAGAAAAGTTCTAGAATGGTACCCTTAGCTCAGCGAGACCAGATTATACAAATGCTTTGTCCATGCACACGAGTTGCTTCCATCAGAGAAGCGCGTGTTCCCTGCAGTTCAGCACTTTTCCTACCACCTTGCAGCCCCGCAGCACTGCTCCTCACAGATCAGCCTGAAACTTTAAATGAAACTGACTACAGTGTTATGTTTGTTGACACTTGACATACCAGCTCCCACAATGATTAAATTGTAAAGAATGCAAACTATAAACCTCAGCAGCTCCTTTGTGAATATTCAGTAGTTAATTAAATGGCAAAGATCAGTTGATAGCAAGGAGGAGAGAGGGAAGGGACTTTCTGTTGACCTGAGGTAGATGCTCCAGTTTGGTACCTTATCCTGTATTCGCCGTCTGTCCACCGGAGTAAAGCGCAGGTGTGTATTTATTTGTAGAGTCCTTGTGGCTGTAGCACTATTTCTCTGCTCCAATATATATATTTTGAGGGGAAGAAACAGAAATTGTTTTATTTCTTTAAGTAAGCAAATAGAGCAGATTAAAATACTGCAGAGCTTGGTGATAGTTGCCTCAGCGTTCATGATATTATTGCTGCATTTCTTTTGTTGCCTCCATATAGTTTTTAATCAAAGGATGACGGAGAAGCGCCTCTGCCTATAATATCTGTCTATCACACCTTCTTCATTTGAAGGGAAAGTAGCTTCATCAGCCTAAGGAGCTTCTTGTTTGACAAGACGCAGTAAGGGCTGAGGTAGAGAACAATTGATAACTTCTCTTTTCTCCATCCCCCTTCTCACCACCACCGAAAACAAAACAGTAAATGTTGCGTGGGCATGGATCCAGTTTTTGATGGGCCTGAAACTTCTAGTACTTAGTGGATTGGGGTGGGCCCTTTAAAAAAAAGCAATACAGAAGTGTCGTGCTCATTAAACACACACACACACACACACACACTCTCTCTCTCTCTCTCTCTCTCTCTCTCTCTCTCTCTCTCTCTCTCTC